CCCTTATATTATGTCAACTCTTTATTACATTAACCCACACTACTACTGCATTGTGTCAACCTTCCATTATATTATGTCAACTCTTTATTACATTAACCCACACTACTACTGCATTGTGTCAACCTTCCATTATATTATGTCAACTCTTTATGACATTATCCCACACTACTATTGCATTGTGTAAACCTTTATACAAAATATACATGTACAAAAAATAATAAATCTATTGGTTTTACTTTGTAGGACATTGCATTAGTTTCACATTAAGTTTAAAACTTTTTCCATAAAACTATAAGGCCTGAGAGCTTCTCCGCTTTCCCCTTTTGGTCTCCAACCATATACCGTCCCCCTTCGGGCTTGGACAATTTTTTTGTTCAAGATTCTCATATCCGCCACTGATATGTGCCCATGCATGCTTACAAAGGCATATTCAATTGATTTAGATGAGGGATTGGTAGATTTTTAATAGAATTCTGGCCTTGGAATGGTTGAAAAAATTTACTAATTCCATCATTTTATCATCTTTTTCGAAAGGGGGGGGGGGGGTCAACCAGAAAAAAAAAATATTCGCCCGAAAAAACTTGACAAGCCAAAAAAAAAATTGTCCACTGCAAGCCCGAAAATCCTATTTCAGGGAGGGGGGTTCAACTTCGATCAGTCCAAATTTTTTTGTCAGATATACTACATTACCCTCAGTGGACTATACTTCAATAAAAAGTTGTGGGGGGGGGGGGGCTGTACTTTCAATGAACATTACATTTTCTATTGTAAAGTTATGTCTGGGAAAAGAGGGGGGGGCTGATATTTTGTGCCTGTAATTCTTCCTAATCAATCAGGACACCCCACCCCCTCTTACCAGTCGTCAACATTCATTATATACCAGATATACAGCTTTGAGATAATGTAAATGTATTTTTACATCAGGTAATGCACTTTTTGAATCAACATGATAAAGTTAACACAACATAAAGATATTTTAAGATCACATAAGAGTTGAAATAACGTTATTATATATCCACATCACGGAATGGAGTTTTGACATAATGTGATAAAGTGTTGATATAATATTAAGAAATGTTCACATTTTGTTATACACTTTTTACACCACGTAATAAAGCACTGACATAAAGGTATGATGTGTTCACCTCACATCATGATGCTCTCGCCGTAAAATAAAGATAAATCCATATCATGTAATAATGCTTTGATGTAATAGAAATATACACTCTCAAAAACGAATGGATTTTTGACTTCATGTAATGATAAATTTAATTATAAAACACAATTCACTTGACATAATGCGATTTTGACCTCACATATTAAAGAAATGAAATGATGTGAAAAAACATTCATTTCACGTAATAAAGTTTTAACACAATGTAAACACATTATAACATAACATAATGAATTTTTGACTTCAAGTTATGAAGTGCTGACATAATGAAAGGATGTATTTACTTCATGTAATGCAGCATTGATATGATGTAAAGATATTTTTACATAATCTCATAAAAAATTGACATAACGTAAAGATATGTTCACATCACGTAATGATAAATTGACATAATAAATACATAGTTGTATGGTATAAGGCAGTGACGGTGTTCCATATAAATCTTACAAAAAATAAACTAGACGAGGTGAATTTTATGGAAAGATAATGAATAGATATTGACAGTAGTGAAGGAAAAACTTCAAGAGTACTATGCAACAATATATTGAAGAAGTGGTGTGAATCAGATGTGGATGCTAAAAAATTCCGAAGAATTTTTAGACTAGTTGAATTCACAAGATTTAACCAAAATCAACAGCTTTAAAACTTACAACTTTTCAACTTTATACACAACCATTCCCCACGATAAATTGAAGTCCAGGATTTTTGATATCATTGACAGCTGCTTTTCAATAAAAATTGAACTCGTAAATTTACTTACTTAGTCATTGGTCATTTGCAAAATTATTTTTTAAATCACAAAATTACACTCTGATTGCACACACAAGTACTCTGAAGTTCACATCAAAAAGATGTTTGAATTTCTGATTGACAATATCCACGTGGTTTTTGAAGACCAGTCCTCCAACAATCTATTGGAATTCCCATAGTTACCCATTGTGCTCCGTTATTAGCAGACCCATATTTGTATTCATATGAAGCAGAATGTGTGCAAAATCTTATGCGTGAAAAGAAGAAAACACTTGCTGTGGCCTTCAACTCTACATGTATGCATATGTCGACGAGGCATTGTCAATTAACAATGGTAATTTGCATTCCTATGTTGATACGATATATCCTGGTGAGCTCGAGACTAGAGATACCACTGAGTCTGGCACATCTGTTTCATATGAGAAAGACGTTAATTGTAATCTAACAACCAAGCTCTATGATAAACGTGATGACTTTAACTTTTCTTTAACTTCGCTTACTCATGCAGCAATATACATGTACCTTCATCACCTGCATTCAGAGTTAATGTACAAATGTATCTCAGTTGATTCGATACGCAAGAGTATTGTCTACGTATGAACAATTTCTAAAACAATGTAAATTATTGACAAACAAGTTGATGAAACAAGAATATCAGCAGTCTCGTTTAAAGTCATCATTACATAAGTTCTGTGGTCGATACAATGATCTTGTCAGCAAATACAATTTATCATTGTGTCAATGCTGACTGACGTTTAACATACTAATTGTTAATCCATTATTTATAACACTGAATTGACGACGGATTTTTCTGTTCTTTCCCGATCATGACAAGTAGCACACGGCAGGTCGGTAGGGTATGCTCACTCCTCCATGGCACCCATCTATGTTTTGGAAGTCTGTGTTTGCTCTGCTCCTAATTTGTAGTGTTTATGGAATTTGGTATTGAATACTGTTCGTAATCTTTATATCCTTCATGTCGAAACCCAAAATGGTAAAAAAAAAAATCAGATAAATCAAATGGGATGATTTATACCGTCTTTTTTTCTCATGAGTTTCACTTGGCTTGGTTTATTTATTTTTTTAGTTTACATTACACGTAGTTTTAGTACCAAGCTTCACATTCTGAAATTTGTTTCATCTGCAAACCTTTAGAGGTGCGATTTATCCATATTTCTAATTTTTTTAAGTATTAACTAATATTTTCCAAGTCTTTTATTTTCCAAGTCTAAGGAGAAAATTTCAAAGAATTATCCACTTTTCTAAACCTGTGACGTGATATTGAGTTTCCCTCTTCACTGAAAAGAAATTGTATCATCTGTCCTTAAATCTAGACCACGTACACGAACTGATTTCTTCTTTTTAGCTCACCTGAGCTGAAGGCTCAAGTGAGCTTTTCTGATCACATTTTGTCCGTCGTCCGTCCGTCTGTTTGTCTGTCTGTCCGTCCGTCTGTAAACTTTTCACATTTTCGAATTCTTCTCAAGAACCACTGGGCCAATTTTGACCAAACTTGTACAAAGCATCCTTGGATTAGGGGAATTTAAATTGTTAAATTGAAGGGCCAAGTCCCCTCACAAGGGGAGATAATCAAGAAAAGACAAAAATAGGGTGGGGTCATTAAAAAATCTTCTTCTCAAGAACCACTGGGCCAATAAGCCGAAACTGATGTGGAAGCATCCTGGGATAGTGTAGATTCTAAATTGTTCAAATCATGACCCCCGGGGGTTGGGCGGGGCCACAATGGGGAATCAAAATTTTACACAGAAATATATAGGAAAAATATTTGAAAATCTTTTGTCAAGAACCACTGGGCCAGAAAAGCTGAAACTGATGTGGAAGCACCCTGGGGTAGTGTAGATTCTAAATTGTTCAATTCATGACCCCCGGGGGTAGGGCGGGGTCACAATGGGGAATCCAAGTTTTACATAGAAATATATAGGAAAAATCTTTGAAAATCTTCTTCTCAAGACCCACTGGGCCAGAAAAGCTGAAACTCATGTGGAAGCATCGTGGGGTAGTGTAGATTCTAAATTGTTCAAATCATGAACCCCGGGGGTTGGGCGGGGCCACAATGGGGAATCAAAGTTTTACATAGAAATATATAGGAAAAATCTTTGAAAATCTTCTTCTCAAGAACCACTGGACCAGAAAAGCTGAAACTGATGTTGAAGCACCCTGGGGTAGTGTAGATTCTATATTGTTCAAATCATGACCCCCCGGGGGTAGGGCGGGGCCACAATAGGGAATCAATTTTTTACATAGAAATATATAGGAAAAATCTTTGAAAATCTTCTTCTCAAGAACCACTGGGCCACAAAAGCTGAAACATGTGAAAGCATCCTGGTGTAGTGTAGATTCTAAATTGTTCAAATCATGACCCTCGGGGCTAGGACGGGGCCACAATGGGGAATCAAAGTTTTACATGAAATATATAGGAAAAATCTTTGAAAATCTTCTTCTCAAGAACCACTGGGCCAGAAAAGCTGAAACTGATGTGGAAGCACACTGGGGTAGTGTAGATTCTAAATTGTTCAAATCATGACCCCCGGGGGTTGGGCGGGGCCACAATGGGGTATCAAAGTTTTACATAGAAATATATAGGAAAAATCTTTGAAGATCTTCTTCTCAAGAACCACTAGACCAGAAAAGCTGAAACTTATGTGGAAGCATCCTGGGTAGAGTAGATTTCAAATTGTGTAAATTATGATCATTGGGGTTGGGCGGGGTCACATATGTATTACAAGGGGGAAATCTGGTAATGAACAGAATGGTCAAAGCTTCTCAGGTGAGCGATGTGGCCCATGGGCCTCTTGTTTCTAGACAAAATGCTCAGGTGATCGATAGGGGTTTCTTGTTTTTATGCATTCCACAAACTTAAAGAAAGGGAGTAACTGAAAATTTAATTTTTACAATTTTTTTTTCTAATGTTCTCAAAACGAAATGCGATATTTAAAGATATTTCATCTACCTACTCTTGTTTATTGTAGCTCAAGTGTTGTGGATATACAAATGGCAACGAGAGTGACTTTAATTCTGTTTATATGGATGGTTATATTCTGTATAATAACAGAGTACCTTTGTTTTGTTGTCATTCCAATCCCTTGACTAAGGAGTTCAATTTTGACTACGCACCATGTACTTCCAACGGACAGGAATTCTATAGATATACAGAGGTACATCAAATGAACCAATAATTAACTACTTTTATTTATATTATTGATTAATTGAATCGAACATATTTTATTGACAAAGAGTCAAAGGATTAAACATAAGTTCAAAATCTTAGTCTTCTCCTAGTACATTTTAAAAATAGCAAAAATATGTATGGTCTACTTCATCAACATAGTAGTAAAAAAAGAAAAGATCTTTACAATGGAAAAAAAATCTAAAACGGCCACATTCATTTACAAAAGTTAAAATATTCTTCAAAACTTCAGCATTTTTTTCATTAGTAAGAAAATCGTCTACCCATAGCAAAAATATGTACATCTATAACATATAAAATACTAGATAACAGAAGCTTATTCATTCAGGAATTCGTTACCTTTGCGTGATTTTTACAAGCGAAAATTAAATGGTATGCGTCTTCTAGTAGTCCACATGAGCAAGTTAGTCTGGTTATTAAGTAACAGCTAAGACTTTAATGGGTGTAAAATATTAGTGTAATAGTTCAATTATCTATGTCTGAAAAGCAAAATTTCTGAAATGCAAAATTAATATTTACCTTGAATTTTTTAAGGGGGGGGGGTTAATAAAATTGATTATTGATTAAACAAGCATCAGAATTATAAAATTTCTTATCTCCGGTCGTCTTCCTAAGTATACCAGTATTCATATCTCAAAAATCACAATCACCTTTCTCTTGAAATTGTTTTTTTTTTCATGTTTCTTCTTTTGTAAATATTTGTCGTAAATATTTTCTATTTCACTAAAATTTGTGAAACATAACTTACATGTATATTGGATCCAAGGTTTCAATGCATGGATTTTGGAAAATTACTTGATCTTAAAATAAGGGGATATGCATTTAGCATTTATTCTACTTATGTTTAATTTATTTTTAATGTTTAATGTGTTTAAATTAAATTACTAGTATGTTGTAAGTTATAGGCAGCAAATAAAAAGAAATTATTTAAAAGAAAATGAAATGTAAGGAGAAAAGTATTCAAATACAGCTCAATACCATTGTTGATTGTTCTGGAACTATACAATAGCACAAAATTATTTTACAGCCCTGTTACACAAAGCTGTCCGAGAGACTTACTAAATATAGTACTGCCTTTTACACTATTGCGTCACTCAGCATAATATTAGAGGTAAGTTGAGTTACTTTAATTCTTATAATGAATGCCTAATTGATGCAGAAAGGATTTTTTTCTACTCTATGAGATGGTTTCTTATGAAATGTTTGGATGGACTATTTGAAGAAGATTAAGTCCATGCTTAGATACTTCAACATCATAACGCAAGCTAATGTTTGCATTTATGGATGTTGTAAAGCACAGGATCTTTAAGCCACCAATTAACATCGATATTTCTAACTCAACTTGTTCAGTCTTCCATTCCACCATATTTGAAGTTGAAGTCTATATCCTGCATTTCCTACAGATATTCCGGAACTGTTGTTTCCAAGCTTTTCGATTATAACATACAGTGCATTGATATTAAACAACTTAAACAAAATCAGTTCTTACTCTTCTTCTTACAACTACAGCCCGACTAAACTGGTGATGTTAATACTGTTAAAAATGAAGACCTCAAATCAGTCATATTAAAAGGTCCTAAATTCAGAAAGCCATGATCTTTCAATTGGCAGAGATTTTTTACGGGGTGGTTAATTCCAGGTGAGGGAGGGGCAAGTATTTTCTTCTTCTTCGGTAGAAGGTACCAATGGGAATTCCAACAGATTGTTGAAAGATCTGACACTCCAAAAACTACATAAATATTGTCAGTTAGAAACTTAGTTTTTTAATATCAACTTCGGAGAACTTATGTGTACAATCAGAATGTCTTTATTTGCAAAATAATTTTGCAAGTGACCAATGACAAGGCAAGTACATTTACGAGTTTCATTGGCTTACCTGAGCCAAATACATGTTAATAATGGTATTTTTGTAAGGACGAGTTTGTTTAAATTGGCCTCAAAATAGATCATGTTTTCAAAACATTGTCAATTTATTTCAGATTAGTTTTATATTTTTTTTAGCTAAATGGCTTAACATATCAAATATTTAACAAAATAAACAATAAATAATTAGTATAATATGTTTTTATAAATTCATTAAAAATACAGAATACAAAATGTAAAGCGCATGGATAGATGTAAATCTTATAGGTGCATTGCCCTGAAAATTTTCAGATTATTTTTATTTGGTGAAAATTGGGAGGGGGATTGCAATTAGTATTAGATAATAATATGTCTTTATAATTTTTCTTAAATAGTTATACAATGGATTGTTGTTTGATTCCCATAACCTATAAATATTTCGTGTTCCTTCAAATTATTATTATTATTATTATTATTATTATTATTATTATTATTATTATTTTACTTTTATATAGCGCCCTATCTAATTATGTAATTACCCCAGAGCGCTTTACACATAGAAAATAAATACAATTGTAAAACAAAGGACGAGTACAATATAAAACAAAGGACGGGTACAATATCATAAAAAGCAGAAAGGTAAAATCATAGGGCAATTTTTTTTCTTAAACCTTAAACTCTTTGCGATTGTAAAATTCTACGGAAAAGTTTCAATATGTAAAAGTGAAATTCTTCGAAATTCGTCGATTACTTAAAATTTACTTTTACCTGTATTTAGAATGTAATAAAACAGTACAGATGATTCCGAATTCAAAGATCTTCATTCATCCAATTCAAAGTTTTATCTTGCAGGTTTTTATGCTTATATTTCTTGGTAAGCTGATAAAGACTGATCCTTCCTTAAAAGAAGATTCTTTTATTATTAAAATCAAATCCTACTTTGGAAAAGACAGGTAATATGCTTTAATGAACTCATTGATCTGCATGTTTTTGTTTGTTTATCAACTCCTTTATAGGATAATCTCTGGTAAAAGTTAACTGGAAAAAAGAATTTAACTTTGAATTTAAATCCATTGTCAAGACCGTCCCTGGTTGGTAGATGGTGATTTGCACAAGAGCACTGAAATGAATTTTAAACTGTATGTTCAAGTCATTTATGGAGAGTTGTTGATTAATGCAAATACGAGGGCTGTTCAATAAATAATGTCCTCGGTGCTCGGAAAGAAACAAAAAACGCTTTTCAATGATTTAGTCTGAATAATTTTACTTAAACATTCTCTTTTAGTTAAATACACGTTCGTAACATTTTTATCCATTGTCTGATTGTTTTTAGAACTCAATTTTGAGTATGGCCCTTCGTATACTGAAATATAACAGATCCTATGATTTCCTGGACTTGTTTTTTTTCTTTCTGAAAGGTGTTTTTTTTCAAGTTTGGAAAATGAAACATGTCGAAGGGTGAAAGATCTTGCGTATATTGTTGGTGTGACAAAACATCAATTTTTTTTAATCCCCAAAGCTCCTTTACTCTTCAGGGCGTGTGGATTTGGACGCTGTCATGAAGACATTTAACGTAGTGGATTCCTGATTCTAGTTCCTTCCTCTCATAATTTTTTTTATTTTTTGGCAAAAATTTTGCTTTCTAGACTCCTCCTGAAATTGAACTGCCTACTTGAATACAAATTTGAACAATAAGACCACTAATATTTAAGAAAATAGCATATAAATCTGTCTTTGTGCTCATGCAGTTCTTTGCTTTTCTCAGACCTTTGCTGTTTTTTTTTATTATTTGTTGACTTTTGGCAAACAGTTAATTTGTTCTTATAGTTCCTTGTCGCCGAGGACGGTACCTATTTTTGATGTCCATTATATCATTTTTGTTAATTGAAATCCACCTGCTCATGTGTCTATAAAACAGACATTGGTTGCTGTAAATTTCATATATTTCAGTTAATATTTCTTTGGTATTCTTAACAAGACTTACAGCAGCTTGAATGAAGCGTTTAATTTCACTCTATAGTTTACTGATTCTTAACCATTCATTTTAATGCAGTGTCTCGAATAGCCCTTGTTTTCCAGCTTATCACAATGAAACTATGAGATTAAAAGTGGTCACGTCAACTGTTATAAATTCATTAAAAATTCAATAATGAGAGAAAGTTAAGCTTAATGTCCTATAATGTCTATATTGTATGTCAGTATTCAGGACATTATTTATTGAACAGCCCTCATTAAACTTTGATAAAATTTAAAAATGTAATTGAAAAAAAAAATTCACTCTGTAAGTGAAAAACGAATGGGGAAAATATAAAACTTTCGCTGGTATCGAAATTTTCATGCCAACTCTTTTTTACGAATGGGATATTTGAATCAAAATAATAATTTTAAAATACATAATACAAACAATACTAGATGTTCGAAATTGGACAAAATTATTGGATCTAAGTATCATTACGTTACATCGTTTTACTCGTAAAAATTAATGTCCTTTATTCTCATATATTATAATATTATTAGCGAGGGTGCTGAGGTCGCTAAAATTGAGTGTCGCTAACAATTGATTGTGTTTTTTAAAAATATTTTTAATGAGCATTTTCAAATCGCTAAAATTACATTTCGCTAAAAATAAAATACCAATTTTTATGGACAAATCGCAAAATTTGAGCAAAACTTTTAGCGAGGGTTTAATTTTGGCAGTGTTATCTTAGAATGTTCTTTTGAAAAGTTATTCTTTTTAGGTCACCTGAATGACCTATTTTATCTGTTTTCGTCCGTTGTCGTGCATCGTCAGTTGTGCGTTACAATTAAACATTTTCAGCTTTTTCTTTGGAACCTATTTTGGCATACCGTATATAAGTGGAAATTTTAGCGAGACTCAAATTTAGCGAGTTGTTCTTAAAAAATTGGTATTTTATTTTTAGCGAAATGTAATTTTAACGATTCGAAAATGCTCATTAAAGAAATTATTAAAAATAAACGCAATCGTTTTTTTTCCGATATTCAATTTTAGCGACCTCAGCACCCTCGCTAATAATGCCAAAATTAAACCCTGGCTGAAAGTTTTGCTTATACGGTATAGCTTCTATAGATGAAGGGGAGTAGAAATTAGGAATTTCATGGTCAACTTTCCCTGTGTCCTGAAGGGCGGGGCCAAAGCCACTAATTTTAAAAAATAATTTACTTCTAAACATCAAGCAGTAAAACTGTTGGCTTGATTGTAATAAACATTGAGCCCTCTAGCAAACAAACTAAATGCAAAGTTACATGTATGCTGAGGAAGGGCGCCTCTTTTAAAATTGTAAATTCCATGGCCCTTGGGTCAGGAATTTCATGGGATAGGGCTCTAAGCCATCCAATTTTCACCCATGTGGTGGGACACAATTGACAAATTGACAATTCAGATCTTAATCTTAACAATTTTATTTCAAATTCTCTTGAAATTGTACAAAAGAGACGCCTAAAAGGGTTGATTTTTTCCTGAAATTCATAATCAGGAAGTTTGATTTTTTGAAAAACTTGCATTAACTTGGAATGGTTTGAACAGCGTTGAGAAAGACAAATTCTGACGGTAATATGGAGTCAATAGCAAGAAAAAAGAACTTCATTCGGTAATAGCCCCAAAAAATCAAACTTTGACGGAGAGATTTTTAATTATGTTACTAAACAGGGGAACATATGCTGACTTCAAAACAGTGAATATTTGATGACCGTCAAGCGAAAACCACCCTTATGTGCATTATGACGTTATCGAGAAAATGAGCGCTAAAGTTGACGTCATAAATGTTTGCCGTATTTTGCAAATAAATGCAGTGTGAAGACGCATCATTAATTATAATATTTCTTCATACAGTAAATGCTTATACATGTACTAAACAACTGTGACATAATGAGTAGTCGTAAGTATAATTACTAAAGGCCACTGTTTAGTATGAAAAAAAAAATAATGATTTACAGCAAACTGAAGGTGAAAATCCTTTGAAGTAGCGAATACCACGATCTTCGCCTTTATTTTCATTTTCGGGGAACATTTTCTTTTTACTTCTAAAACATAAATATGGGGGAGAAATCGCATATTATCTTTAGACTAGGGCAGCAACAAAATGGACATAGATCTACTCTTATTCAACATTATTTTTGTCACTATTTATTGATATTTTTCTATATTTATGATAAAAAGCAGAGAAAACCTAATCAAAGTGTGAAGCCAAGGCGTTGGATTTCATACAAAGGTGTGTAAGTTTATTACAATCTAAACAGCGTTATGTACCAAAAATCAAAAAATAGCTTGAAGAAATGGGGAGGCGGGTGTCGCATAATATTCGTTCCGGGTATTTCACGTTCCGGCCGGAACCTTAAAATCATAATATTGGTTCCGGATTTTACTGTAATATAGGTTCCGGCCATGAGTTCAATCTTCGAATCGCGGTATCTGTCCAGATTTCATTCCACATTGAGTCATGGAATTAGTAGGGGTTTTTCTTGAGGTTTTAGCATCACGCAGCGACATTCTATTTTCGTGCGTCGCGCAATGTTTTGTACTTAGCAATTTTAAAAAATAGATGAATAAATAGCCTGATGATACTCTTTCTGATACATATGACTTTGGTCCCATTATAAGGCTTTGTTTATCTTATGTATACAAATCGGTTATCTACAACTCAATTCCTTTTGTTTATTTAGTGCATGCCAGGTGTGAATCTCTCGCTTCAATGCACGCAAACCCGTAAAGACAGGTTAAGAGCATGGTTAGGAGATAAACAATTTAAGACCGGGTTTACGAAAGACTAACATTTAAAGAAACACAATGTCAAAGAATTAATTAATTGATAAATTTTTTATTTCAGAATTCGATAAAAGTAAAGAACAAATATTGATAATTATATATTTACGGAATTAAATTCTCTGTTTAAATGATATTACACGTGTTGACAAGTCGAGGCTCAAACACGGCTTCCATTTCTCATAATTAAAGATTTTTTTTCATAATTAGATATTATTGATGAAATGGCATGATATATGGTTTAATATGTATATGATTCACTGTTGAAGAATGTTACGTATATGGTTTATTTTCTTGTAAATTAATCTTCATACCACATGTAGGTACAGTACATGTATTTCATGATGATGTGATTTATTCTGTAATGAAATAAACATGAAAACATAAGAATACGAGTATGGTTTATTCCCTTTAATACCAAAAAGCCAAGCACGTGTAGTTAATGAAAATGATAATTTTTTTAATCGTGGGAAGAAAAAAAATAGTAATTGAGATATGAAAAGTAAAAACAATATATGTTGACTGGCTCGGCTTTTTATTTAATACGATAAAAAAAAAATATTTTTTTTCTTTTCTTTTCTTTCGTCTTTTTTTTTTTTTTTTTGCTATTTGTTTGTTTTAAAGGAATTAAAATGCACATTAGTGTTACCTCGAGGAATGTCCTAACCACCAACCGCTTAAGATATGTGGTAAAAATAATTATTTCTGCATGGGTGTTTGAATACATAAAACACGATGAAGTTGGTAAAAATATGATCGTTTTATACATGCCATTCATAGGCATCGGAACCGGAGGGGGTGGGAGTAGGGAGGCTTAGCCCCCACTTTTTTTTGCAAAAATAGGCATAATATAGACATCGTACATTGGGGCGTAGGTTTACCCCCCCCCCCCCCCCACACACACACACACTTTTTCAACCGACACGTTGCAGTTGAGTTTAAAAAAGGGTAAATGGTAGTGTTTGGAAAAAATACTGGCACTGGAAGAAGTTCTATCATACCCCCCAACCCCAACCCCAACCCCCACGAAATAGAATTTGCCTGTTTAGAGTTTAGACAATTGACACATTTTCCTTTTTTGCTTGTCAAGAATTTTTTTTGTAGGTTTGATTTTTTTCTTTCACTTAAGCCCCCCCCCCCCCCCCCCCCCCCCCCCCTTTCAATTTGCTTCTG